GTATTATATGAATGAGTCGATTATGCAAACAGTGATTACATAAACTTGAATCAATGGGACTACCTTATTACTCCAATAATATTATTTAATGTAGTTAATAACATTCTCATATTAACTTGTCCATGTTAATAAATTGCATCTCATACTTTCTCTATTATGAAAATTTCATTTTTCTCTAATGATTCCGTAAATTAGTTTAAATAAATATCTAAATTATATTTTATAGAATTATTGTATAAATATTCTGCTTTTTAAAAATACCATGATGTTTCATTCCTGTCTAAAGCAAGACAATTCTCTATTTATTAATCAAATGTCTCCATTAAATCATACATAATGTGTATTTTTAAACTTAAATTTTTAATAATTTAGTATGTAAATAGCTAAAATAAAGGGTTATTGATTCAGTTTAATGGGTTAAATGTCAAATTAATGATCTTGCTTATAGTACAACACAGAGCTTCCTTTTATTAGGCTTGACCTGAGGACACGAGACGGCACGTACGGCCTCATCGAACACATTCGTAAGGCCTTCCCGTGTGAGCGCCGAGCACTCCAAGTACTTAACGGCGCCGATATCCTTAGCCATGGCCAGGCTCTGGGGGTAAGTAATGGGTGCCATTTTGCGCTCCTTAAGCTTGTCCAGTGTTTTGGGGTCGTCCCGGAGATCCAGTTTAGTGCCCACCAGTATAATAGGTTTATCGGGACAGTGGTGTCTCACTTCCGGATACCATTTGATCCGTACGTTTTCAAAGGATGACGGGTTGTCCACCGAATAGCATATGAGAAAGACGTCGGTTTGCGGGTATGATAGGGGCCGCAGTCGGTCGTAGTCCTCCTGACCGGCCGTATCCCAGAGGTCTAGATTGACGGACTCTCCGTCGACCATCACATTAGCGGAATAATTGTATATATTGTCACAAATATAGGCCGTCCAACAGAGGTCGTATTTGTCCGTCGTATAACACTTTAATAGACTTGTTTTACCCACACCTCTGAAAAATGTGAAAATGTGGAAATCAAAGTAGGGTATACTTTACTTTCAAATATATCATAATAAATATGTATTAATTATAAAAATTTATGAATATATACCCGTTACCAACTACTACACATTTAATTGCATTCATATCAATAAATTATTAATGTTTTAACGGTATGTGATATAAAAAAGTTACAATAAGTTAGTCAAAAATGACTATACTTATAATATTTATAATACTCGCACATCATTAATAATTACAATATTTTAAAGCCTATTTATTTGACTCTAAAACACAACATAAATAATTTCATTTGAATTGATATTCAATGAGATAATGGCTACTAAACAAGAAGTAGTCCTAAAATGTGCTAGCGCATTATAAAAATGTATTTGTTTTGCCAGAAAGTGTGGCACAAAACTACGCTCGCAATGCAATTGAATGAGAATCTCCAGGAAATCCCTTTT